CATCAACAGTTTGCAGCACACAGGCAGAAATACAGAGCCTGAAATGAAAGATTATTTTCATTATAGTGTTTTTCACTCGTTGATTGTTTAATATATAAAATGTCAGAAATTAGTGAAATGCCACCGTTACAAGCTGATGTATACAAATAAGCTGTCTTGTCTTGTTTTGTGTTGTAAACCCTTAAAACAAAGCCGTGCACGTTCAGCTGTGGATAAATGCACATTTTGTGTTTTAAATCAAATCAAATCAAATTTTATTTGTATAGCGCCAAATCACAACAGAAGTCATCTCAGGACACTTTACAAAGTCAGGTCTAGACCTTACTGTTATCAATATTATTACATAGGGAAAACCCAACAAATCCCCCTTGAGCAAGCACTTGGTGACAGTGGGGAGGAAAAACTCCCTTTAACGGAAGAAACCTCCGACAGACCCCGGCTCTTGGTGGGCGGCCTTCTGCCTCGACCGGTTGGGGTGAGTGGATAGAGGAGAGACAAAAGAAGAAAAGCAACAAGACACAACAATCAAACACTGATCAGGTCGATGTGGCTGGTGACTGCTCGTCAGAGACATAGAGCTCCAGGGCCAGGGCAACCTGCAGAAAGGTACAGGGAGAGAGAGAGGACACACTACGGGAGAGAGGAGACACAAAGTTAGTAATGTGTAATGGTGGCATATAGAAGCATAGGGAGAGAGAGGAGAGGGAAGGAGAGGAGAGGAGAGGAGAGCAGGAGGGGAGGGGAAAGAAACTCAGAGCATCATGGGGCCCCCCAGCAGCCTAGGCCTATAGCAGCATAACTAAGGGAAGGCTCAGGGTCACCTGATCCAGCCCTAACTATAAGCTTTATCAAAAAGGAACATCTTAAGTCTAATCTCTAGGAACCACAAGTAAACCTGTACTCTGAGAGCGAAGTGCTCTGTTAGGATGATAAGGCTCTACGAGGTCTTTAAGATACGATGGAGCCTTGTCATTAAGGGCTTTGTATGTTAGGAGAAGGATTTTAAATTCTATTCTGAATTTTACAGGGAGCCAGTGGAGAGAAGCTAATATGGGAGAGATATGATCTCTCTTGCTAGTTCCTGTCAGTACTCTGGCTGCAGCATTTTGGATTAACTGGAGGCTTTTTAGGGAATTATTGGGACATCCTGATAGTAAACAGTTACAGTAGTCCAGCCTGGAAGTAACAAATGCATGGACCAGTTTTTCAGCATCACTTTGAGACAGGATGCTCCTGATTTTTGCAATATTGTGCAGGTGAAAGAAGGCAGTTCTAGAAACTTGGTTTATAATATACTTCTTTGGTGCTGGAGGTTCACAGTCTGCGTCCTCCTTCTCCTCCTGGTCTTCCAGCTGCTTCTTCTTCTTTTAGTGAGTACGTGAGACGTGTATGTATGTGGGAGTGACTCAAAGTAAACCACAGTGTGTGTGTGTGTGTGTTCATGGCTGAGCGTCACCCAGTGCAGCACTGCGCCTCACTGGTGTGTTTTGGGACAACAGTGGCGCTCTGTGGCGAAGAGGGCTGATGTACCAGGCTCCTGCTACACATCTAGTATTTAGCAGTAACAGGTAACAAGGTTGTTGACTGATCAACTGATCAGCTGAAGATTGTTTCAGCACTAAGAAAACATTGAAACACACACAGTCAGCGATGTATGAAAACAATGTCCCGCTGTAGCCAGAGGTGGAAAGTAACTAAGTACATTTACTGAAGTGCTGTACTTAAGTACAATTTTGAGGTTTCTGTACTTTACTTGAGTATTTACATTTTCTGTTACTTCATTCTTTGACTTCACTACATTTCAGAAAAACATATTGTACTTTGTACTGATTAGATTTAATTGATAACTTCAGTTACTAGTTACTTTTCTGAATCAGATTAATAAAACAAAATACAGTATAATCACAAGATTTATTGATTCATGGTGTAAATTTCACCAGCTACCCAGCAGTATGTAAAGGACTTCACATTATAAGTATATAAGGTAGTTAACATCAGCTCCACCTTTACCAGCAGCAGCATTAAATGTCATGTACACAATAATACGTCAACTGTAATCCAATAGTATGATATACATGAATATAAATTGTGCCATTCTGCATAGAGTACTTGTATTTTTGGTACTTGAAGTATATTTTTATGCTAATACTTTTGTACTTTTTGACGTAAGTAATATTTTGAATGCAGGACTTTGACTTGTACCAGAGTATTTTCACGCTGTTGTATTGCTGCTTTTAATAAAGTAAACAATCTGAGTACTTCTCCCACCACAGTACTGTGAAAAGCCTTGTGTGTGTGAGATGTGCAGGCGCCGGCGAGGACTCAGCACGTCTTCCTCCTGGCATGAGGTGTGTGCAGCCATATTGCTGCGATGGGGACCTTCAGTCGTGACCATCACATGGTACATTAGACAAAGTATTTGGTGCCCAGTAATAGAGCAGTGATCAAATGACGAACGGTTTCAGTCACTGCGTTGAATCTAACATCTCAGAGAACGCTTAGAGACAGAGCTTCCTGGTTGGGTAGCACCTTGTTTATCTGTCACTCACTAATCCCACATCAGGTCAAAGCCTTGTAGAGCAGTCAAGTTGGGGTTATAAGGGGCGAGGGAGTATTAAAAGATAAAGCACAGACATGAGTGCAGATTGTTTCTTTTGTGCTGTTTGGAGCTGGCAGACAGACTTCTCATCCCTTCTGTTTTAAGAGAGATGGGAGCAACCGTGGTGCACCCTCTGCACGTCAGGGTTAGGCAGTGCTTGGCAAACATGGTGGGGGAGCTGGGACAACAGGAACACTTACATAACAACTCAGCAGTCGCATATACACTTATTGTTCTTTCTTCAACTGAGTAACCTTCTGCTTGTTTATGTCCACTGCCTTCTGGTGCTGTATGGCTGTTTGTGGGGCCACGTGCACACGTGAGCAGGATTTAAGTATCCCTGCATCTGTGGCGAAGGTTTTATTCTGTCATAAATCCCTATATGCTGTGTGTGTGTGTGTGTGTGTGTGTGTGTGTGTGTGATGGAGCAGGACTTTGGTAATCTTGTCAAGTCAGGAACATCCAGGTTTTCCTCACATCAGATGCAGCAGATCTTATTTCAGTATGAGGCCTCAGTTATTCAGAAACAGCCAGTGCACACACATCAGTGCAACATTTCTCTAAAGTCAGTTCAAAACGCAAAGCGAATTGATTCAGAAGTTATACCATGTATACTGTACACTACATCAGACAATTTGTCACACAACCTACAGCATATGATTCACTTTGGAAATTATTTCCAGTCTTTGAATGTGACAGAATTTCCACAGTCGTACTTATACGTGATCGACCTGTTTGCTTTAGGTGGAAAATAATTACAAATGATAAATCAGACTGTAAAGAATGAGCTAAGGTACAGAGGTAAGGTTTGGAACAGAATGATATAACTGATTAGAGAAGACATTCACTACAGCAGGTGCTTGTGGATTTTGCCTTCCATGAAACATTTATGTCACCTTCAGTTTAATGCTGTTTGTCATTTTGATACAGTAGGTGATGCAGAGGATGTTGCTGAAGGAAGGCAGAGAGCATATTGACCAAACATAAGTCCCAACATGCACATTCAAGCAGGATTTTATTAAACTGAGGTGTGCCTCCCCAGGAGGTTTAGCTACTGTTGATTGGCCTCCTTACCAGCACATTAAGAGTTAACGTAGAAAGTGATGATCTGAATTAATATACATATTTTTAGATTCAGTGTGAATTAACAAAGATGTGCAGCATTCGTCTTGAATAAATGTTCATTAATCAGCCTAGAAATCAGAGAAAAAGATGCTCTTATCATGATCAGGTTTTAAAGTTGTGGTCAGCAGCGAAGCAGTCCAGTGACAGTTGTCTGTATTTCTAGGACACACTGCAAACAGAACCGCTAGTAGCAAACTCTGCATCTTAAAGGTGCCAATTCACCGAATTGTAAATGAACTCAAGCTAAATAAAAACATACTGTAGGTTTGAGTTGAGGAAAACTCAGTGGGTACAGTTTTCACATTTAGTTTTGTGTACAGATTAAACAATAGAACAAAAATATTCAGTAACATACAAGCTTTAGAGGTATTAAAAGTTGAATTTTTTAGATTTGGACAGAAGAAGGTCAGTGATTTTCCCTGTTTCAAGTCTTTATGTTAAGCTAAGCTAACAGGCTGCTGGTGTTAGCTTCATATATGACAGTGCTATCTTGTCATCGCTATCAACAAACCAAATAATAGTACCGGTACTTCCAAAATGTCAAAATGTTCCTTTAATATCAAGATGGAGCATACATTGTCAGTGATAGTTGTCATTTGGACCGGAGTGATCTTTAGGTTGTGGGTTTTCAGGTTTGCTAATTTGAATGCTATTAACTTTACAATCCACACTGTTCTTGTAGTAATAAATACAGTGACGCCACACACTGAGGTTTCAAAGCATCACTGAGCAGCTTGGCCATTGAGATGTACAATATATGCACTTAAAATGCCAGAGATATTAAGGCTTAGCTCAGACTACAGCCCACCTCATTTTCCAGGGACTGCACTGGGCACATACAGTATTAGCTGAATATTACCAAACTTTTCTCAGCCAATCTAGAACCAGCTGCCTTTGGATAGAATCTGAATTCGAATCCCATCCTTCCTTTAAAACAAAATTGCTCTGGGTGAGTCTCACGCCCCAGACACTACCCAAACTGGCATTTGCTGAGTGAAGAGCTCCCTGGGAGGCAGACATAGCGTTCTCTGTTTTTACTGAAGCAGTTGCCGACAAAAATTTCCCTGTTTTTGCAGAGATGTGTCTGTGTGTGTGTGTGTGGGGGGGTGTGTGGGTGTGAGGGGTATTGGGATAATTTAATAGGAGGTTGTACATTGTGTCTACTGCTTGTTCAGTCAGTTGTTGATTGCAAATTAATCAATCTATCCTTTATTGTGTCAGAGCTATTTTGTAACTCTGATTTCTCTCTGTGTCTCCCCTCTTTCCCCATCTTCAGGTTCCTGTTGCCACTGGATATCATGGAATAGAAGCGGCAAATATTGTGACTGTTGCCAAATATCTTCAACATTGTAGTTATGTTATGATGTGAGGACCTAAAGGGCTGTTAGTGGGGGTCCTCCGTGTAAAAGGAATCAGCATATTATATCTAGGGCTCTCATATGTTTTCAGTACTGACAATCTCTTCAAACCTACTCTCACTGTAAAACCATGAGGATCTAAGTTGAGTCACATGGATAAATGAGTAAAATGTATCATCGGTAAGAAGCTTTTCCCTTCTCATCAGCTGGTTCCACTTCTCCTAGTTGCCTCCTCACCAGACACACAAAATGCGCCCTTCCCTCACCACAGCAGTCCTACCACCCAGGACTCGTACCCACAATCCAACCAACCTGGCTGTGGGGAGCCGTGAAGCTCCACGAAGGCGCAGCCCAAACCTCCGGCACACCCTCAGCCCAGAGAACCTGCGTACCCTAGCGGATAGGGGTGGGGCTGCTGCTGATACCGGCTCTGTTAGCAGTTCTGTTGGGCTTACACAGGCTAACAGCGACACAGACTTGGTGAGCGCCCAGAGCCGGTCCTCGCTAACGGCATCCACTCTGGAGTACACACTGAACCGTGGCCAGAACCTTGTCATATCCTGGGATATCAAAGAGGAAGTGGGTGCTACCGACTGGATTGGACTGTACCATATTGGTAAGATAACTATTTTTACATGTGCGGTTGCTTATAGAGCTGCTTTTAATTCTTCTGGGGACAGGTCAAGGTCAAAAGTCAAGTCCAAGTCCTTGAAGATAGGTTCAAGCCAAGTCACGGGTCTTCAGAAGCAAATGCAAGTCAAGATGACATTCTGTTAGTCTGACCATTAAAATGAAGCATTGTTTTCTTTTAAAGCAGCTTTGATAGTGCTTCATGCATAGCTGAAATCTACAACCCCAAGTCAGAAAAAGTTGGGACGGTCTGTAAAATCAAAATTAAAACTGAAAACAATGATTTGTAAATCATCTGTGTCGTGTATCACACTGAAAACAACACAGCAGCACATTATTCGACACCTCATCAATTTAATTATTTGTTCAAAATAAACACACACATCAATTCTTATGCTGCAACACACTCCAAACAAAGTTGGGCCAGTGAAGCGTTTACCACGGTGGGATGCTGCCGTTTCTTTTCACAACACTTAAAAGACGTTTAGGGACTGAGGACACCAAGTGATTCAGTGTGCCAGGTGTCATTTTGTCCCATTCTTCCTGCAAACAAGTCTTAAAGTGCAGTCCTGGGTCTTCATTGATGCAATTTGGGTTTCAAAATGTGCCACACATTCTCTACTGGGGACGGGTGGGGGCTGGAGGCAGGCCAGTCCGGCACTCGCCCCGTTTTCCTCCACAGCCAGGCCTTGGTAATGTGGCAGGATGAGGTTTACATTGTCTTGTTGAAATATGCATGGGCGTCCCTGGAAAAGAACGTCTGTTATACTCACTTTGTCAGGGCCGCTCGGCGCAACCTGCCTCTCTTCCGCCTCTCTCTCCTCTGTTCTCTCGACCTGCGGGATTCACACCTCAGCTGTGTTGCATTCGCAATTAGCGATTCGTTTGTCGGTGCACACAGCTGGGGTGCATCCCGCAGATTGAATCCTTCCTTATTTATACCTCTGGCAGATGCTCCGCCATCGCCGGAGCATTATACAGGAAATGTAAAAAGTTTCGAACAGTAACGGGCATACCCCTTAACAGCTGTTAGTCGTGGTATGTGTTATACGTGATTTTTGATTTGTATGCTGACAGTTCCTGTGCTGTAGATTTCATTATGAACGTTGGCTTTTCTTTTTCCTTGTTTTTGTTAGATGTCTTTGTTCTCCACGCTGACAGTTCCCGTGCTGTGGACTACATTTTGTATGTCGGTTATATGTTTTGTGTTGGACTTATGGAGACTCCCCCACTGACAGTTCCTGTGCAGTGGACTACATTTTGTATGTCGGTTATATGTTTTGTGTTGGACTTATGGAGACTCCCCCACTGACAGTTCCTGTGCAGTGGACTACATTTTGTATGTCGGTTATATGTTTTGTGTTGGACTTATGGAGACTCCCCCACTGACAGTTCCTGTGCAGTGGACTACATTTTGTATGTCGGTTATATGTTTTGTGTTGGACTTATGGAGACTCCCCCACTGACAGTTCCTGTGCAGTGGACTACATTTTGTATGTCGGTTATATGTTTTGTGTTGGACTTATGGAGACTCCCCCACTGACAGTTCCTGTGCAGTGGACTACATTTTGTATGTCGGTTATATGTTTTGTGTTGGACTTATGGAGACTCCCCCACTGACAGTTCCTGTGCAGTGGACTACATTTTGTATGTCGGTTATATGTTTTGTGTTGGACTTATGGAGACTCCCCCACTGACAGTTCCTGTGCAGTGGACTACATTTTGTATGTCGGTTATATGTTTTGTGTTGGACTTATGGAGACTCCCCCACTGACAGTTCCTGTGCAGTGGACTACATTTTGTATGTCGGTTATATGTTTTGTGTTGGACTTATGGAGACTCCCCCACTGACAGTTCCTGTGCAGTGGACTACATTTTGTATGTCGGTTATATGTTTTGTGTTGGACTTATGGAGACTCCCCCACTGACAGTTCCTGTGCAGTGGACTACATTTTGTATGTCGGTTATATGTTTTGTGTTGGACTTATGGAGACTCCCCCACTGACAGTTCCTGTGCAGTGGACTACATTTTGTATGTCGGTTATATGTTTTGTGTTGGACTTATGGAGACTCCCCCACTGACAGTTCCTGTGCAGTGGACTACATTTTGTATGTCGGTTATATGTTTTGTGTTGGACTTATGGAGACTCCCCCACTGACAGTTCCTGTGCAGTGGACTACATTTTGTATGTCGGTTATATGTTTTGTGTTGGACTTATGGAGACTCCCCCACTGACAGTTCCTGTGCTGTGGACTACATTTTGTATGTCGGTTATATGTTTTGTGTTGGACTTATGGAGACTCCCCCACTGACAGTTCCTGTGCAGTGGACTACATTTTGTATGTCGGTTATATGTTTTGTGTTGGACTTATGGAGACTCCCCCACTGACAGTTCCTGTGCAGTGGACTACATTTTGTATGTCGGTTATATGTTTTGTGTTGGACTTATGGAGACTCCCCCACTGACAGTTCCTGTGCAGTGGACTACATTTTGTATGTCGGTTATATGTTTTGTGTTGGACTTATGGAGACTCCCCCACTGACAGTTCCTGTGCAGTGGATCTCGTGGGATGTTTTGTGTTTGAGTGTAGTGAAGCGGCATTAGGCTTTTCCGCTGACAGTCCCTGTGCGGTTGCTTTTCTTTTGTCGTTCGCCACTCTTTGTTTTTTTTCACCTGTCCATCCTCATCCTCCCGCTCTCCTGGTTTTTGCCGTCAGTCCCATGGTTTCCTCCACCATCTCAACTCTACCCGGACTGTATACGTACTTGGACTTTATGTTCTTTTGTTACTTTGTGTTCTTTTACCAGTAAACCATCATTTTTTTTCACCTAGCACCTGGGTCAGCATACTTGAGTCCTACCTTTGTTCTCTCTCACCCTCCAGTTGAGGGGGACTCAACCATAACACACTTATTGCTCAGCCTTTGTCAGTGTATCGATAAGTCAAACTTCAGAAGTTTAATCTCGTGTCCTTACTTAAATCTTACAGGTCTGAGAGCTAGTAGTTCTTATTGTAGCAGATAAAAGTAGGCTAATATATAATGCATATTTGATCATACGTGTCAGGATCAGCAAAAATAAACAAATGACACAATTTGAATGATTGTCTCTGCCTGTGTCTACATCACTATTTGTCCTTTCCCCCAGAAACTCTTTAGCTGGACTGTTCTTGAAACTTGCAGTAACTCAGGATGTGAGCTGAGTTGAGTTGATCTGTCCTCAAAGCTTTTCAGCTGATCTTGGTGTTTTATTATTGGCAACTGATAATAGCCAGCTAGTTTTGTGCAAGAGCTTCCAACTCTGAGTCAATAGTGAAACAGGAGCTGCAGGGTCATTACACAGGACTGGAGGCTGAGTCAACGTGTAGGTCCTGCCTTGGTGTACGATAACACACACACAATCACAAACCATGCACACTGCGGAGACAAGTCGGATGGTCTCCGATAATGAATGCTAATCCTGCTTAGTCATGAATTTGATGGGGTAAAATACTGGATGCTGCCTGCTGAAGAAGGCTATAATGCTTAAACGTTTGGGCAGATCTGTCCATCATGATGAAAAGTAATACAGGACTGGTTGTCTTTAAGAGTCTACAGCATCAATTGTATGCTGTTTTGCTCCATTAGTTTTCTTTTTTTACTCGCATTCATCCTTTTGTTCTTTTGCTGTGTATTTGTTGATTAAATGTTTACCATTGTCATGTTTTTTGATAATGATAAAATTCTAAATTCAAAATGTCTGAAGCTCTCTCTCAAAATACTGAACAATCTATTTTAAAAATGTGCGTAATATTTTTCAAATATCTATTTCTTCCAGCCCTAACCCTCTGGGATAATTAAAAGTGAAAGATCACTGCTGAGTCCATATTGTTGCCTTATGCAGAGAAGCAAAATGTGAAAGCCGTCTGTTCATAGCAGATAATTACTGGTATAATAAGTAGTGGAACAAACAAAAGAAAAAACTGTGACATTCAGGAAAAATTGCAGCATGTGTGCTGCTTAGCATGGTGTATTATGTTAGTCATGGATAATGGGTTTCTGAAAACAATGGACGTCTTTGACTCCCGAGAGATCAGACAAACCTGCAGCACAACAGCTGTGGATTCTGGACGCCATTCAGTAATTTTAAAAAAGACTGTAGTTCATCATTGTTTTAATTGTTTACTAAAAAATGAGTTGCATTCCTGAGACCTCCAGGGCCTAACCTGTCTGGATTGGTAGATGAAATGCGATACTGTGTGAGAGTGTGAACTGCTGGTGCCATTGGGCGTCAGGTCACTTCATATTGATCATAAGGCTGCAGGACTTCATTACCTGCTCCAGGGTCTTATAACCCAGACGGGCTACCACTTTCCTTGACTAAGCAGACATTCAATAACAACAAACCTGCCTTCCCTTCCTCCACTCCCCTTCAAACACACACTGGCATGTTCACGCTCATGCACACACATACAGTATACAGTCCTCTCTGCACAGTCAGCTGAGTTTGGTGCTTCATTAATCTGTGTGCGAAAGTGCTACGTACAGTGGAATTCCCCAGCCCTGTTTTTAACTCGGAGGCGGTGTGATGTTTGTCCTTCTGGATAGAGGTTGTGGGGAGGCTATTTTGGGAATGGCTCAAAGGCAAACTTGTGTTTTGGAAGAAAGATTCCACAAACTAAACATGCTGAAAAGTGTAACAGATGCTGCTTGGTTCCAGTTTTTCCAGTGTTTGAGTATTTGTTGAACTTAATGTTCTTTGGCTTAAACCTCTGACAGCAGTGTTAATTGTAGAAGTCTCAGTGGAACACACACTCATATCTAATGAACAGTTCCTGTATTTTCCAGATGAAACCAGTCCATCCAATGTGTGGGACTGTAAGAACAGAGGGGTGAATGGCACTCAGAAAGGTCAGATAGTTTGGAGGCTGGAGCCTGGGCCCTACTTTATGGAGGGTAAGTTACCACTGGCAGTCTATCAATTAGTTCTTTGAAGATAAGTTGTAAAATGTTTAATTATTCAGATGATAACCATTATGTTGGCATGTTTAAATCAGTCTTAAATATTCTAAATCAAGGCAGTATCTTAACCTCATATTTAGAATTATTCTCCCAGTATATTAGACCATTGCACGTGACGGATTCACGCCACAGTCACTATTCCACAGTCTACAGTGTAACTGCAGTGTGGCCAACTCTAGGCAAAGATATCGCAGTGTTTCCATGTCCTATAACTCTTCACTGCTTCTTCACCAGCTGAGACCAAGATCTCTTTCAAGTACTACCATGGAGCGAGTGGAGCCCTGCGAGCCACGACTCCCTGCATCACTGTGAAGAATCCAGCAGCCCTGGTCTGTGTGTGTGTGTGTGTGTGTGTGTGTGTGTGTGTGTGTGTGAGAAAGCCTGTAGAACTGGTCTGAGTTTAGTCATGTAGAGAGTCGGGCTGTAGCTCAGCTTTAGTATCATGGATAAATAGTTCACTGCTGTTCACTTCCAACTCAAATTGTTTTTGAAGGTACCAAAAACCCATTAGGCAAATATCAAAGTTCGGTTTATTTATTTTTGAACTAATATTAATTTAAAACCAACGGCAGTCTTAAAACGGATGGTGTTCTTTGAAAAGCAGTTAGTTAATTGACAACCACATACTATGCAACAGAGTCTATCCCTTACGCTGGGTGCTCTACATGTGCACTAACACTGAGCAGTGTGTCCTCAGTGCCACACTACCACCTGCTAACAGTAAACCGAATCCCTTACACCTCCTGTGTTGTCTCCTGTGTTATTATTTTAAATGATGTGAATCCACTAGGACAAACACAGGTGTACTGTGCTGTATTTTAGTAGATTCCCTGGAATACAAATGTGTTTGTGTGTTTTTCTGTCAGAGGTGTGTAGAGTGTGCTTTCATCTCTTTCTTCTCAGGCGGAGGGGCTGGCAGAACAGGTGGGCATTGAGCATCCTCGGAAACTGATCAGCTTTACTTTGACGGGTGAGTTGAGATGTTATTTTTGATGTGAGGCGACATTCTGACCGGTTTATAAAGTGATCATTTAGTGCCACAGTGCTATTCCGACAGCTCGTATAATAATCCTTAATAACAAATCAGGGCAAATCTGGAAGCGGAGTTAACACCATTTTAATACCTATAATAATAATAATAACAATAATAATAAGGTCTGGCCCTTACTTTGTAAAGTGTCCTGAGACGATTCTAGCTGAGTGATGCAGTGCTGGCAAATACGTAGTCCATTCAGGAAATGAGGAAACAGTGAGTTTGGAATGTAAAGAGTGTTTTCCCTGACTGAGAAAGATGAAGAATGTTAACCCTTTTCTACTGAAATCCCTCAGTATCAGGAGGGATTGTGTCTTTTTACAGCTTGCTCACTCAGACACTTTCCTCTGTTTAGCCACCTGCTGCTGCTTAGGTGAAAGAGAGAGAACCAGTCTTGTATGTGCTTTGCCTAGATGTTTGCCGCTCTTGTCAAACGACTGTGGTCTGAAATGTTGTGTTTCAGATCTGCGTGCCACTGGTCTGAAGAAGGGCATGTTTTTTAATCCGGACCCGTACCTGAAGATGTACATCCACCCGGGGAAGAGGAGCGTTTTCCCCGTCTTCAGCCATCACGGACAGGAACGACGATCAGCCATCATCGCTAACACCACCAACCCCATCTGGCATGGAGAGGTGATATCTACCCTTTATAATCACTTTATCATCAGTTAGAGGACGCATGCACACATTTCCTTTCTCTTAAAAACAATAAACTGTTTTAGCAGTTGAAAAATGCACTGAACGTGTTTTTTTTTGTGCCTCTTCACAGAAATACACATTTGTAGCACTAATGACAGACATTCTGTATATTGAGGTAAAGGACAAGTTTGCAAAAAGCCGACCAATCATCAAACGCTTCCTCGGTCAGCTCGCTATCCCTGTACAGCGGCTTATTGAAAAGATACCCGGGTAGGTGACAGGCATCTTGACCTTTGCTCAGTCAGGACGTTTTTATGATCTGATGAAATTTGATGTGTGCACTGTCACAAACTAGTGTGCACTCACAGAGCCCTCTGATAGATCCAGTAGATCATGGTGAATATGTTTTCTTCTTCTGTTTGTCTGTCTAGTGTCCAGCCTGTGTGTTTTTCGCTGTGTCGGCGCCTGCCCACTGAAAACGTTAGTGGCCAGTTGCAGTTCAAAGTGGAGCTCACCTCGGCTGGCCCTGATGGTAAGTGTGCCTTTAAACTGTGCTCACATTCTGTATCCAAAATGTTTAGATGTTTTTGTTTTCATCAACATACAGCGTGTTCTACCACCTGTAGGTGCTTCTCCTGATTCTATCATTGGCATTTCATCCCTGAATGGAGCTCCAGGGACGCCATCCGATGATGAGGACCTGCCACATAACCTTCCAGGGGTGGTCTCTGCTGGCCCCTCCCCTACTGGCTCCCAGGGCTCCCAAGGCATGTGGGAAGCTGGGGCCTCAGCCAGCCCAGAGAAGGATCTTTATCTTGTCGGACCCCAGGCTGGGTTTGTACAGCCTGAAAGGCTGTTGGGCCAAGAAATGCTCCAGAGGTCGCTTAGTGAGGGCCTGGATGCTATTGAGGCCCCTAAGGGTCCTGGTGAAAGACCCATGAGGGCAGCCTCACCCAAACTACGCTCCAGCTTCCCCACGCACACAAGGCTCAGCGCCATGTTGCACATAGATTCAGACGAGGACGAGGAGAGATCTGGGGCTGTTGACATCACTCCGGTGCCGCTGTCACCACTGCTGATGAATGGAGTGGCACCAGATGTCGGAGGCCCCGATGAAGACAACCCCTTTCCGGAGCTGGAACCTGAGCAGCTAGAGGCCTTGGTGTTGGAGGACGAGCCCAGGGGCGCAGGTGCTATAACAGAAGATGTGTCACCTGAGGCAGAGGTGGCCCTGGAGGTGGAGGCAGGTCTGGACTTGGATGATGTTTTGGAGCCAGACGTCTTCTCTGAAGTGGAGGAGGCTGCTTTCACCGAGGCCGTGTCCCATAATGCTTTACCAGAGGTTAGAGAGGTGCTTGCGGACGGGAGGGTGCCTGGCGAAGACCCCTCATCAGAGATCAAAACCTGCTCTGTGGCTACAGCCCCACAGCCCATCTTCTCACCACCAGAGAGCTGCTGCTGTCCAGTCACACTGGCCGCTGCTGTGGTGAGTTCATTATCCTTATGTTGTCACAGGCCAAGATTCAACTACAGAGCTACAAGTGTCCCTTTTAGGGTTGTAAAGGTTTTTTTTAGGGTTGTTAGGGTTTTTAGGGTTGTTAGTTAGGGTTGTAACTAACAGTTATTCATCAACAAAGGAAAACCTTTGTTGGTGTTCTGTCCCAAAGCAAAAACGATACAAAAACCCAATTTGACTCATTTTGTAATGACACAAAATAGAAAAAAAAACAGAGAACCATTACATTTGAGTAGAGTAGAAACTTTGTATAATTTCACTGATTAATTCAGGAATTAATTGATTAAGACTGTTTTTACTGAGATGAAATGTCACTTTATTGAGTGAGTGTTTGCTTTAGGTTTATTTCTCCTCAGGTTACCTTCAAAGTAAATCACCTCAGCACATGTCTGCAAGGAAAGGACTCAAATTTGACATAGAAATAGGTGCAACATATTTTATCTAGTAGAAATGTTATCACGTTTGGACATGATCAGTTTTCTGATTAAGGTTTGACACAAGACTATTTCTCACCTGCTTTTGATGGCTGATCTCCTGAAAATAGGTGTGCTCTGTAATTCATCTGCATGTAATAAAGATGGAAACGTTCTTGTATAAAATATGCTGTGGTCACCTCCAACACTGCCACTAATTACTTCCACAGTTTCATGTTGTCCATTGTTTCCATTGATTATTATTTATTTTGTGGGTGTTATTATTATGTCTATTTTCATTCTGTGGGATGTTTTGTAGGCTGCAGAGCAGGGAGCAGAGGCGGCCATAGATCCAGGAGGAGTTGTAGTGTCCTCCACCCCACCAATCAGCCAAGCTGTAACCAGTGATGGTGGTGGGCAGGCTGCTGTCCCCACGGTCGAAGGAGAAGCTCTGCAAGAGGTGCTCATGGAGATCAGTGTGAGGAGGCTGAGCCTACGTGCCGCCGGGGGCATGGTTGAAGAGCAGGAAAGGGAGGAGACAAAGCCACATGTGGAGGTGGGGTCTGTGGATTCAGAGCCAGTGGCCACAGAAACAGATGGCGAGGAAGGTAACCAGTTTCTAGTGACTCACTGTTGACGTGCAAAGGAAATGTTTGAAATCCTAACAGAAACTAAAAGGTGTCTCTTAAAAGTTAACTATTTATTTATTTTCACTGTTTTCGCTATGTTACAATTCTCTCTGTCTTGTGTTTGTCTCCTGTGTTCAGGTACCCAAGTCAACGGCCATCCTGTACGTTCGCTGCCTTCTGTACGACACGACATCCACCGATACCAACGTGTGGATGAGCCTCTGCCTCCCAGTGAGTGTGTGTTTCTGCATGCACCCGAGCCTCTGCCTCCCAGTGAGTGTGTGTGTCTGCATGCACCCTGTTGTTTGTTTACTGTATCTGTTATGTCATCATCTCTGTGCAGGAGTGTGTCTTACTATGTGTATCTATATATGTCCATGTCCATATTTTACTGAGTGAAAGTTATCTGAAGCATTCTAGCCTCACTAGCAGGGCTCAGCGATGTCAGCTCCTGTCTGTCAGTCCGATTATCAGTTATTGTGATAACTGATAAAAATGTTTTAAGAGATATTCATGGTCGTCAGTGGATAAATCAGTGGACACACGTTTGGCTGTATTTTTTCCAAGGTATTAAGCACCGTCTTTGTATCCATTGTGAATTGCCTCTCAGACTGGGAGGCTCGTATCGACAGCCATGGGAGGATCTTCTTCGTGGACCACGTGAACAGGACCACCACGTGGCAGCGTCCTACCGGGCCGCCGGCCCCACAGGGTCTCACCCGCTCCAACTCCATTCAGCAGATGGAGCAACTCAACCGCAGGTGTGCTTTGTAAGAGGAATGTACTGCAACATTGGTTCCCCAGTGGTTTTTATAGTAAGTTGTACAGTTAACACTATTGTTTGGAAGCATAGCTTGTCCGCAGTGGCTCTGAACAGCCTAAGGAGCAAAACAAAACGTTTGTGCTTATAGAAATGTACATTTAGAGACCTATTTTTTCTCTGTTTTCTATTAATGAGCCATTGCCTGTGGGTTTCTTACCTTTGTACACCATATGTTGCATACATTAGTAAATCTACATAGTAGTCCAAGAATACATATTTAGTTGAACTTGGAAAAATTGTACGCATCTCAATCGCAGGTACCAGAGCATCAGGAGGACCATAACCAACAGTGATCGGTCAGAGGAAAGCTCGGTTGACCTGCTGCCTGAACCAGAAAGTGAACTGATGCCCCATTCCATTTCTGGTTAGTTTCTTAATACAGAAATGGAATAATATAGATATTCCATTCTCAGGAGCAGTGCACCTGTTTTGAAGAACAATATTTTTCCAATTACATAACTCATCTTTTGAAATACTATGATAAGCTATGAGTCTGAGAAGCTATTATTTTATAGTGCAAGAAAGACCGTCTTCTCTGCATTTGTATGCCATAGGTCTGAATCGCACGTGTTGATTCTGTTGCAGAATACCGGCGGGAAAGCACCGTTGCTCACGCCAGTGGTCGCTCGCGTCTCTCCCTGCTGCTTCAGTCTCCCAGCGCCAAGTTCCTGTGCAGCCCTGACTTCTTCACCGTGCTGCATTCAAACCCTGTCAGTCTAACATGCTTCACTTCCTCTGTCATCTTTGTGCTGTAGCTTACAGGTCAAATACAGTGGATGTGTCAGACATAAGTGATGATCGGTGAATGCAGTCCTTATTTAGTGAGAAGTTATTTATTATCCATACTTTGTTTGCTTCCATCTTTCATCATTAGAAATCAAATAGCATATTTTCTCTCTTACCTTTAGCAGTAGTCTTTAGTCTCTTACTGTGAATCTATGAAAAGAGAAGCACAAAGGAGACTCGATGAAAGTCTGATAAAAACAACAGAGAATAACCGGAGTGACAGAAAACTGTGGAGAAGATGAATTCGCTGTTCTGTACTTCACACTAGCATCAAATTTTAGCATTATGTACCAAGCATGCTTTGACTTCGTGTCTGTCCGTCTCCTGTCTCTTTGTTATGACCTCACCTCTGTGCCCAGAGTGCCTACCGCATGTTTACGAGCAACACCTGCCTGAAGCACATGATCAGTAAGGTGCGTCGGGACGCTCATTACTTTGAGCGCTACCAGCACAACCGTGACCTCGTCACCTTCCTCAACATGTTCGCCAACAAGCAGCTGGAGCTTCCTCGAGGGTGGGAGATGAAGCACGACCACACTGGGAAGGTGTGTGCATGTTTATGACCCCTAACCTTTACTGTTGACTTAGGACTGCCTTAACCCTGAAGGCCATATGTATCCTGTCACTGGAATCTCTGATGAGCTGTCCAATAGGTTGTATTGCTGCTTTTTTTAATAATCTGTACTTACAGACCATGAGAATTTGGCCAATTACACATTTCTTGTTCTTTAGGCTCTCTACTTTAGCACATTCAGTTCAACATAAAATAGTGGTTGCTACATTTTCGTGCCAAGTCTCAGCTTTAATTTGACTAGCTCTGCATCGCTATGTAGAGAACTGGGTGGGAGACAGAGCCCTTTTAGTATTTGTTTATACGCATGAATATTTAATACATTGCTCAAAAAAAATTACAGGAACACTGAATCGCACATCGAATCTTGATGAACACATCTGTCCAGTTGAAAACCTTTAGCAATGTACACTGTATAGTTGTTCAAAAGGACATAAACCTGCACAGCAGTAGCTGCTGGAGGTCACTGTGTAGGGCTCTCTCAGTGCTCCTCCTGTTCCTTCTGGCACAAAGGAGCAGATACCGGTCCTGCTGCTGGGTTGTTGCCCTTCTCCAGCTCTCCTGGTGTAACAGCTGGTCTCCTGGTTTCTCCTCCATGCTCTTGAGATTGTGCTGGGAGACACAGCAAACCTTGTGACTGCACATATGGATGTGCCATCTTGGAGTAAGTGGACTACCTGTGCTACCTGACTGGGCTGCAGGTGCTGCCTCATGCTACCAGTAGTGACAAGGACACTAGCAAAACCCTAACCCTTTTTGGGGGTCATCTTGCTTTTAAACTTTGAACTCTCTTCTTCAACTCTGAGCCACGAGAGCATCTGTTACTTGGGCACTGTGTGCTACAAGGCCCCATCTCCCACACAGTTCTGTCTCTATTGATTCAAACCTACTCAAACTAAAGACAAGACATGGCACTTCAGTGTCATACCCTATATTTTATTTGAATGCACTAAAGAAAACAACCCGAGGAACACAACTTGTGTAACTGTTTGAATACATATGGTCTGGACTATATGTCTTTGTGTACACATACTGGAGGTCATCCTTGCATGACTGTGGGTATTTGCATCTCAATCTTCAGCCCTTCTTTGTGGACCACAACTGTCGGTCCACGACGTTCATTGACCCACGGCTGCCCCAAAAAAAACCGGACTTCTGGCCCACCGCCAGCACCTGAGCCGCCAGCGCAGCCACAGTGCTGGGGAGGTGAGAGACTAGCTACCACTGCACCTCATCACCTTCAGTCAATTAAGGCTCACGCTGCCATCGCAATGTTTGTAGAGGCCAGTTTGAAGGTGAAAAATGCTTAGTGAGTTTCTGCATTGGGGCCACTGGCAGGAAAGTTATTCTGCTGGGGGAACCATCGAGCAGAATATCTACTGGGCTGTCAGTGGTTCTTGTCTCATTTGCAATGATCTCTTTAAAAGCTGTATGTGACAGAAGCATCCCATTCATCCAGTATCTATATGCTTATCATCTAGAGGGTTACAGGGCCGATCCCAGCTGTCATTGGGTGAGAGGTGGGGTACATCAGGACAGGTCACACTCACGTTCACACACAGCAAGGCTGCTGTTGCCCACGTGTTTTGAACTTGCAAACCGTGCCACCTTGTCAAATTTGTAGTGATATGGTATGATTACCATAAACGCTACCATACCATAGTGAACAAGATGATACCTTCTGTTGCCCTGTTCATCCATATGCCCTGCAACATTACTGGGCTCATGTATCTGGTTAAAAATGGATTTTGTAAAGGTCTCCTGTTAGGATCGCTTTGGTGTGTTGCTTACTAACACAGCACTGACTGTGTTGAAAAGTCTTTCTCACTGATGCAGTCAAATGCTTGTGGAAACATTTGGTGTCAGAGGCAGCTTAAAAATATTTGTTTTAATGCAAGAAATAAAGAAAAGTCATAAACAAAAACTAAAGCTGGAAGAACTCTCCAGCAGGTGTCCACATGCTAGAGGTGAGGTCTGTTTCTGGTGACAGCTGGCAGGCCAGTCAGTCTCAGAACTAGGATGCGACCTGAACTGTAGCACTTCTTTTTAACACAGGTAGTGGACGACTCTCGCCAAACCTACCCACCCATCATGCCCCGCCCCTCCAGCACCTTCAGCGGCTCCAGCCGGAGTCAGTACCATGACGTGGTGCCTGTGGGTGAGTCTGGCAGAATCACATGCACACATGCATAGCCAGAAGCATAAAGTGTGAACAAACACTGGATGCTAATTCTCTCATCTTCTTCATCTAGCATACAATGACAAAATAGTGGCGTTTCTACGGCAACCAAACATCTTAGAGATATTGCAGGAGAGGCAGCCTGAGCTTGTCAGGAACCACTCGCTCAAGTATGTTTGCCGAACTCTGACTCTCCCTTCCCTTAGTGTTTTCATCAGTCAACCTGAACACACACTTAATCTTGTATTTTAATGGACTGTGGCAGTTCATACCCTAATGTGTGTGTGTGCAGGGAAAAGGTGCAGTTTATTCGCAGCGAGGGAGTCAGTGGGCTGGCTCGTCTCTCTAGCGACGCTGACCTTGTCATGCTGCTGAGGTAAGTCCTGTGCATGTGTCATTGGTCACCTGTTACAACCAATAGGTTCCACCATTCCTGGAATTGACGTCTTACATCCCTTTTTATCAACCTGTGCTAACACTGTTGTCTCCAGCTTGTTTGAAGAGGAGGTTATGTCATATGTGCCACCGCTACTCCACCCAGGCTACTGTCTCTCCTCCCCTCAGAGCTCTCCTGGTAAGCCTTCAGCTTATTCTTTTGCATCACCCTAACGGCAGCTTTATTGGCATGACACACTTTTTCTCGCCTTTATTACATTCTTACCCAGTGCTAAATTTCACACCTTTTACCAAGATTTGGTTAACATGAAATATCATTTTATCTATATCTGTTTGTCTTCTGCCCAGCTTTGCCCCTTTTGTCATTTCAATTTATTTAAGGTGCAATATCACACAACAGTGTCTCAGTGCACTGTACAAAACAATTACAAATAAATAATAAAATCAATTAGAAATAGCATACAATATAACAATAATCTTATATAACAATATAATGTATTAATGATCTTATATGACAATCACCAAAATTTGACTTCTCTATTGTGCCTATTGCTGTCACAGGCAGTGTATAAAGCTGCCGATCATGTCTAGGGTGAACTCTATTATAAGGCCAGACGAGTAAAAGCAGGACACTGTCTCTTTAATCAGAGCACTGTTCACAAACAAACTGTACACAATGCAGGAGTCTGATTCAACGTGTAACTCTGTCAGGTCGATAATTCCAGTCCAGGATTCACAAGAAGATAAGTAAGGGTAGTCCATAAGTCGATGCACAGAACACAATCAGAATCAGAGGGGTTAGGCAGTACTCGGTGGTTACAAGGCAATCTGGGGTTAGGCCTGGAAAAACGGGCACGAGAATAAACGCTGGAAAGTCTGAACATGAGTTAGAACAATCTGGCAGCTTCCTGGTGGAAAGAAGCTGCCTATAAAGGGATTTCAACAGGTGCAGATCATTACCACTGATTAGTGTAAATAGTCCATAGCTGAAGTGAGAACGTAGACCAGAAGTGGTGTCAGAATAAAAGCATGTTACCAGAAGCAGAAGAGACAGAATCATGATAATTGCCTGAGCTTTATTGTACATTTTCTCCCCTTGCCTCTTCCCTGTGTCTGTTTCATTTATATTTCAGGCACCCAGAGAGCCAATGCCCGTGCTCCTGCTCCATATAAACGGGATTTTGAGGCTAAACTGAGGAACTTCTATCGAAAGCTGGAGACCAAGGGTTATGGCCAAGGCCCAGGGAAAATCAAGTATGTATAAATGCTACAATTTAAAGAGGTTTTTGCATGGGCTGTTTTATGTAGCACTGGTCTGTGTAACAATAGCAGTAACACCTCTGGCCAGTTCATGAAAGTTTCTGCATTTACAGTTTTAAACCACTAACAGGAAATGATGCCTTATCAGAAATGGGCTGGGATTCCTCTGTCTATAGTGTCATCCTATACTGACATGTCACTGTAAAATACCAAAGGGAGATTACAGGTGCATCTCAATAAATTAGAATATTGTAGAAAAGTCCATTTATTTCGGTAATTCAACTCAAATAGTGAAACTCATGTATTATATACATTCAGTACACACAAAATGAAGTAGTTTATAGTAGGCATGTCACCATATTCTAATTTATTGAGATAGTGATTTGGTGGGTTTTTGTTAAATGTGAGCAGAATCCATCCATCCATCCATCCATTTTCCTCCACTTATCCGGAACCGGGTTGCTGGGGCAGCAGTCTAAGCAAAGATGCCCAGACTTCCCTCTCTCAAGACACTTCCTCCAGCTCCTCCGGGGGAAAGCCGAGGCGTTCCCAGGCCAGCCGAGAGACATAGTCCCTCCAGTGTGTCCTGGGTCTTCCCTGGGGCCTCCTCCCGGTGGGACATGCCCGGAACACCTCCCTAGGAAGGCACCCAGGAGGCATCTGAAACAGATGCCCGAGCCACCTCAGCTGGCTCCTCTCAATGTGGAGGAGCAGCGGTTCTACTCTGAGCTCCTCACCCTATCTCCGAGGGTGCGCCTGGCCACCCTGCGGAGGGAGCTCATTTCGGCCACCTGTATCCGGGATCTTGTCCTTTCGGTCATGACCCAAAGCTCATGACCATAGCTTTGAGCAGAATCATCACAATTAAAAGACCCAAGGGCTTAAACTACTTCATTTTGTGTACTGAATTTATATAATACACGAGTTTCACTATTTGAGTTGAATTACTGAAATAAATTGACTTTTCCACGATATTGGATGGATATCTCATGAATATCCTGGAAATGGGCAACACTTTCTTTGGGCCTTCAAGCGTTAAAGGATGATCAAAATCACATGAGAAGACCCAAACCAACAATGAACATATCCTGATGACAAGACCTGTGTATGTATCCAAAGCCTGATTTATCTTTTCCTTTGTGCCATAGAGTCACACTCTCGCACTGGGTGACATGTTCCTTCATTACTGTGCACACGCTGTAGCTCATTTTGACTTAATGCCACACACACTGTACCGCTGCCCCAGACACACACTAGAGCAACAAACGTGGTTTAATCTTTCATCTGTCAACAGTGATTTAATGTTAAGCCCTAACATGGTATCAGCTGGTCCAGTGTTAAGACTCCGTGTCTGCTTGCTGCTCAACATGGCCCTAACATTACACCCAAAGCTGAAGTATTCTAACTGACCCTGCTGTAAAGAATGCTTAAGTCAACAACCAACAGCACATGAGTTTATACAAAGCTAAATATTGACATAGCAGTTCCACTGTTGTTCACGTCAGGTCTAATAATACCGGGACTGTGTGTGTGTGTGTTTGTGCTCCTAGGTTGATCATACGCAGGGACCACCTTCTGGAGGATGCCTTTAATCAGATCATGTGTTACTCCCGTAAAGACCTACAAAGGAGTAAACTCTATGTCAGCTTCGTAGGCGAGGATGGGTGAGAAAGACCCAGTTCATTCCCAGTGCATTTTATTATGCTTTTGACATTACAAGTGTGAAATGTGTGTACTTGGTAACTGTAGTTGAGCTGGCGCAGCCTTACCAAGCATTCATTCTTATCTTAAGCATCACAACATATAATTACACACGTCTGACAACATCCCAGTTTAATCCACGGTCTTTTGATGAATGAGCAGCTGGAGCAAGTGGGTGGGAAACAAACTACTATCTGCTGACATTTTCATACCAAGAGGTAGAATTAAAACAAAGTCATGACAGATGATTGACACCATCTACACTGTGCTTTTCTATTGTGTGTTTGTTTTATTGTGTATAATATAACCTTTGCTCTCAGGGATCGATAAGAGTGGGGGTAGGGGGCATATCTTTGAAGTAACCACCAGTTCCACAGATTTCACGTAGACTCTACCACAGAATCCAGTACAAACCTTATACACTGTTGCTTTATGTGCCTTGTGTGATTGCACAACAGCTGCTGAATAACATTCACTGATTCATTTTCCCACTGACCTGTATTTTCTCTACGTGCATTACGATATTCGTATTACAGGCTGGATTACAGCGGGCCCTCTCGAGAGTTTTTCTTCTTGGTGTCCAGAGAATTGTTCAACCCGTATTATGGCCTGTTTGAATATTCAGCCAATGACACGTACACGGTCCAGATCAGCCCTATGTCTGCCTTTGTAGACAACCATCATGAATGGTGAGGTTTCCATATGTGTCTGTATCTACAGTACAACATCAGTCTGTCAGTCCATTGCATGTTTGTAAAGTGGCTGCTCTGAAGACTGTGTTCTGGTCCCAAAATAGAAGCAATTTTCAGAGTGCTGTGCAGAAATTTGGATCAGCAGTCTGTGGGTCATCAGTCAATTTTGCCTTAGTGACAGTGATTGGCTGGCTGGATGAATGGGTGGATGGATAGACGGATGATCAGACTGATGAAGGAATAGGAAGCCGACAGGGAGCACCAAGAAATCATAATATCATAGGGATGAAGAAGAAGATAAGACATGTAGCAACATAAACACCAGGTCTGCAGGGGTTTGTTTGTTCTACGGGACTAAACCAGTGAAAACTGCCAAGTCAGTACATGTGATTATGTAGAGACAGTCTTTCCAGAGAAGTCAAGAAAGATGGACTGGAGAAAGATCTTTAGTTGGGCGTCAGATCAGTTACGAAGCTGTTCAGCTTTAGTTGGTCTCACACATAGACTTCACCACTGCTCTGACTCACAAAGAATCATGATGGGGGGTGCGTCCTCAGTTGTAAAGTGAACTAGAAATTTTACTGTTAAATACTTCATGAAACACATCATGGAAGAAACAAGTACACATAAGCTGTAGTTTACTGGTGTATGTTAGACTGTTATTGTAAGCATCTGAGAAAATGAACTTCATCTAAAAGCAGGCTACATCACTTGGTTTGACAAATGCTTTGAAGAAACAATGCAAACCAGTTTTGCCTGTTTCCCCCTGTGTGCTGGGTCTAGGTTTCGCTTCAGCGGCCGGATCCTGGGGCTGGCTCTCGTCCATCAGTACCTGCTGGATGCCTTCTTTACCCGACCCTTCTACAAGGGGCTTCTTCGCATGTAAGTCCCTCTGACTTCCCATCCCATATAACCTGCTGTGGACCAGCACCTCCGTTCAGGCCCCCCCTCACTAAGTCTAATTCTCAGTTCACTGTCAGCAGGAGCAGCACCCTTATTCACAGCTTTGTCCAAACAACTGAATAATAAGGGTTTGAACCTCTAATGACGATCTTTTAAGATCTTTATTTTGTTTTAACGGCACCCGGAGCATGGTGACAACAGTGGTGGGAGCTTTACTGGCTTCACACATCAGTTATAGTCCACTACTAAGGCTCAATATCAACTAACCTCAGTATCTTGTGGACCCCTCTTAAAGTCTGTTGTAACCTCTGCCTGTGCTCATGCAGCCCATGTGACCTGAGTGACCTGGAGTTCCTGGATGAGGAGTTCCACCAGAGCCTGCAGTGGATGAAGGACAATGACATCGAAGACATGCTGGACCTCACCTTCACTGTCAATGAGGAGGTTTTTGGGCAGGTAGGTTTATTAAGAGGTTTCATCTTGTATTTGCTAAATTAGTAACTTAATGAAAATAGTCTAGAGCTCCGTGTCTACCTGTGACTCTGCAGATTACAGAGAGAGAACTGAAGCCGGGTGGCGCTGGTATCCCTGTGTCAGAGAAGAACAAGAAGGAGTACATTGAGCAGATGGTCAAGTGGCGCATAGAGAGAGGAGTGGCTCAGCAGACGGAGAGCCTGGTCCGAGGCTTTTACGAGGTACCGTGCATTTTATCAGCGTAAAATAAGTCCATCCAAACACACACCTTCTTTCTAACATCTGGCATTTTCAGTGGTGGATGATGATGCTTGGAGCAAGCAAGCACTGTCACAATCCATTTCAACTAGGCAGGCTAAAAATACATGTGATCGTGCCAAATGAGCAAATGACACAGCAGTATTGTATTTCAGTCAGCTACTGTACATTGTGACATACCCGCTCTTCACTAGAGGTCTGCAGTGATGTTTGCTCTCTTAGTTAACATACCACACCAGGAAATGTTGCTGTATTTCTATAAAATATTTGAACTAGTATTACAATTGACACCTGTAGCAAAATGCCCACAGTCCTACTTGCTGTAAAATTCCAGTGTAACAGACAAAGGTTTGGCTGTAATCTGGACTGGTGCTCATGTTCAGCTCTTGCCCCGTGTGTTTGGATAACAAGCACAAGCCCCTCCATTTCTGCTGAAATCCCTTGCCTGGCAGGATGACAGATCACCATGTGTTTGTGGGCTATATGTGTCCACGTTAGTTTACAGACCCTGGTTTGCTGAACAAATCAAATCCCACATTTACTGTAAACAAACTGATGGAAACCTTTTCCCCAGCAGTGTTTATCCTTCTGCCATCTGTCTCAATGTGCATCTCCAGAATAAGAAGCTGCTGTAACTGTGTTGTCTCAAAGCTCTGAAAGACACCAAAAATATGTGTGTGTGTGGGGGGGGGTGTGACCGTAATGAGTAAAACGCTTCACCATATATTTATCCATATGTTCATGTGTGTTTGTGTGCATTTGTTAGGTGGTGGATGTGCGACTGGTGTCTGTGTTTGATGCCAGGGAGCTGGAGCTGGTGATTGCAGGCACTGCAGAGATCGACCTGGCAGACTGGAGGAACAACACAGAGTACAGAGGAGGTAAAGCTCAGGGGTCCAGGGAGACAGCAGAGTGGATATCAAAGAGTGTGAGGCACCGTAACAGGAAAGTGAAACACTGGCACAGCTGCCATACAGTGGCTTTTACCGATACATTCATTCACAGCTTAAAGCAGCAGGTGTGCAACCACTAAACCTCTGTGCTGAGCAGTGAGGGCCTTGTTCCAGAGAACATCGGTGTAGGTAACCGCTGAGGAGGCTTGAAATGCTTATCTCAACAAGCCCAAGGGTTCATCCCAGCAAGCCTCCTGACCTGTAGTGGCTTCACCTTTAACAAGACATAAGGCAAACCAAGACAGGTGAGGTTAATCTAGAAGACAGTCCAAGCAGTGGTCAAAAAGGACTGCTGGAAAACGACGACAGGTGAGGCACAACAGACTATATGGCAACTAATGTGCAAATGAACTGGTAGGAAGAGATTAGGGAGTAAGGAGCAGAAGGTAAGAAGGAGGCAGGTAACTACACAGCAGGTGGGAGTGTGAGGTCTGGAGAGTTTGTGAATACTGACAAAGACAGAGAATAAATGTTTGAATTGTGACAGAAACGAAGGTCAGGATGTTTAAGCTCCTGCTTCTTTCTTTTGTAAGTCTCTCTCCTGTGAGTCCATCCACTTAATGGAAGTGTGACAGTAAGTCACTGGTTGGTTTACATTAATAACACAAATAAGGGCTAAAAATACAGTAAATTCAGATGGTTTGCTGTAATTCAGATGATTAAAGTGCAGCCACAAAGTATTTGCTGCCTCATAGATCATACTTGACCTGTAAATATATACAGTTATAAAATGTCAGCAAAACTATTCCAAACAATATTAGCAACCAGCTGCTAAAGCACAGATGAAATGCTTCCAGTGGCACAACCAAAATACAACATAGTTTCCAGCTTTCAGTGGACAGTGGGGGTAACTTACTCCCACAACCTATAGTCCTAAATAAATAAGCAGAGTTTGATGTTTCTGATGCATAAAAATGTTCTGCCTGAAATGATAGCTGGACACATTCTGGAAGACTGACAGGAATCAGGAAATAGTTTCCAAACTGTGCAATGGCTTGTTTTCCTGGTAACATTTGTTGATTGAGCCACATAGGTCCTTTATCACTTTACCTTGGTCACTGGATGTTTAGCATTTCCCCTTCTTTCTCCCCTCCTCCTCCAACCTGCACCTCAAATGCAGGTGCCAGAGTCTGAAGCATTTTTAAGTGATCACATTAAAAGGCTTTTTAAGAGTCTGGTCAATACACTTGAAAAGCTGCCAGCAGCATGGACTGAAGAACTCAAACTGACAGTCAGCTATGACTCAGTGTGAGGCTCTTTTAATAGAGGGATCGACTGAGACGGACAAAACAGCTCTGGCCATTAAATATTAAACAGCAGGGCCAATTCAAAAATCACAGTGGAGAGGAGAGAGAGGGGACGAAGGCCTTGTTTGTTATTCATCTGACTCATGCACCATCATCATCTATTTCCCCTCAGGTTACCATGACAACCACATAGTGATTCGCTGGTTCTGGGCAGCTGTAGAGAGATTCAACAATGAGCAGAGGCTGAGGCTGCTGCAGGTATGGCATGTGGATGACCGCATGCACAAAGGCTGCCCCCACGTGGAGGCTGTGTGTCCTGCAGCCTCATGTGGACAGCATATTACAGCCAGTGAAGGGTCCAGCCTCTAGCTTGATAATGTGCTTGAGAGATTATTAGTTTGAGATGAGGTGTAATCAAATGAAATCATTTACAATTTTTAGTTTTCGTCAAACTTTTCAGTGAAACTACTTGTTAAATTCAGATTCATATATAAAAGTAAAAACTTTTCATTTCCATGTTAAGTCTTAAGTAATGATACTGTTTAGGTCGCTGCTTGCATACATGTTGTGACCTTTGTGACCCTTCTGCCTCTAGTTTGTAACAGGCACCTCCAGTATTCCCTATGAGGGTTTTGCTTCTCTACGGGGCAGTAATGGACCTCGCAGATTCTGTGTGGAGAAGTGGGGGAAAATCACCTCCTTACCCAGGTAGGATCACTGTTTAATGGGATGACTGTGTGCAGTAGCTTTAAGGAACTGTTCAAAAAATGTTTGAGATGAACGTTTTGCTGAAGTCTTCCTTTGTGTGATTAATTTGAATCAGTTCAAGCTAACAGGTTCCACCAACTCAGTGCTGTTACATTATTGTGACATTTCACAGAGGGAGTTGCAGTATGTTAAGTAAAGGGGAACATACAATAAAACATTCTTGGAAGAGACTTGGATTATAGCCCCCATTCACTACTGCAATAGTTTTTGCACAATTCATACTCATTTTAAAGGCATTTTTTAAATTAGCTTTTTATTTAACCAGGACAGATGCATATTAGACATTATATGACCATGTATGCAGAGCTCTATCTGAGGATAGTTAGCAAAGTTTCCTGTGTCTGTTTTGACATCTTGAAATCCATTTCACAATCTCTTGGTTTGTGTTTCCACAGGGCTCACACTTGCTTTAATCGTCTGGACCTCCCACCTTACTCCTCCTTCTCCATGCTCTACGAGAAACTGGTCACTGCTGTAGAGGAAACAAGCACATTTGGTTTGGAGTAACTTCAAAACAGTTCACACCCAGGTTTATCTCAAGGCAGAGAACCATCTGTAGATCCACCTTTCTGGTTTCAGAGGGACATGAAAAACAGAACTAATGTCCTCAAATGGCAACTAACCACATGTTGTTTTTCCAGCTGGCTTTTCATCACAAAGCATGCAAACTTTATTTCGATTTGCTGCCTTTCTCTCACATTTCTGATGGAGATTGGTCAAGTGACCACCTTTTGGAAAACATGGCAGAAAAATGTAAAATGCTTTGAAAAGCTGTACAGTTCATTTTCTTGTTTTCACTGTAATCTTTGTTCTTTGGGCCACATGTGTGCTTTATCTCCTGAGTTAATGGCCTCGGCTACTTCATATCTACCCCCCCACCCCACCCCCCGTCTTTCTCCTTGTCCAACCTGCACTTCAGAGACAGCTGCTGAAAAGCCTCACATCTCCCTTCTCCCTCTTTGGACCTGTAAACTGTGTCCTTGTTGCACTGGGCTGCAGTGTAATAATACTATTAACACACACACACACACACACACACTAATCGCCTTTGCTCAAAAACACACACGGGCCTGGGACATTTTGTTTTATTGATGTACAAACCAGTGTTTCCCCAAATATTTTCTATCAGCATGGAAATATATGACACATTTTAGACTTTTAACTGGATGTTGGCTGGTCCTCTCTGCTGTCTGAATGCAGAGAGCACGCTCACACACACACACACACACACACAGATATGAATACAAATCAATTGTTCTTAGACAGAAAATACACTTTTTCAGTTTTGATTTGATTCCTGAAATAAGCTGGACAGTGGGTCAGAAATCATCAGTGACACATTTAGGGACATTTTCACTGACCCACTGTAATAATGATGGCAGGTTCCAGTTAGGACTGTTACCTTCAACACTGCAACTCCAGCACTCTTACATAAGCAAGACGCATCTGACAAATGCAGTCCTATTTGTGGTTACACTCAACTGTGACACCCACTGTCACACACAAACATACATACAATATTACAGCATAGCCTTGGACCTTCGGGTATACTTTCTTACAGTGTAACAGTTGCACTCGCTCCAGTCTAGTATACAGATACATGTACTACCCACTTCAGTCAGAGAGAAATGCAGGGTTCCTGTCTTTCAAACCGTTCCACACACACATTCATCATGAACAACAGATGCACTTTCTCACACTTGCTCATAATCATGACAAACAAGGTCCTGCACACTGGTGTAATCGCCTCCCACCCAGTGAAAGTGAAGAATATACCAAATCAGTGACTGAATGTATGAACCTAAAGCAAATCTGTTTGGCCCCTGACGAAAATCTCACACAGTCTGAAGAGGAAACACCAAGTTTAAAGTTGGAAGTGGAAAGAAGCAGTGTTTTAAATTCCCTTAACACACATCACTGCAAGGCGCGGTAAGGTGTGCTCTTATTACTCTGCCTCATTCAAAGCAACTAACCAGTGATTTATATGGATACAGTGAGGAACAGAAGTATTTGAACACCCTGCAATTTTGCAAGTTCTCCCACTTAGAAATCATGGAGGGGTCTGAAATTCACATTGTAGGTGCATTCCCACTCTGAGAGACAGAATTAAAAAAACATTTCAGGAAATCACATTGTATGATTTTTAAAGAATTTATTTGTCTTGCACTGCTGAACATAAGTATTTGAACACCTGAGAAACAGCAAGAATTCTGGCTCTCAAAGACCTGTTACTGTGCCTTGAAAAAGTCCACCTCTACTCCACTCAATCTAAATTAGTAGCACCTGTCTGAACTCTTTAAAGACACCTGTCCACCCCACAGTCAGTCAGACGCCAACTACTACCATGGGCAAGACCAAAGAGCTGTCAAAAGACACCAGAGACAAAATTGTGGACCTCCACAAGGCTGGAAAGGGCTAGGGGGCAATTGCCAAGCAGCTTGGTGAAAATAGATCAACTGTTGGAGCAATTGTTAGAAAATGGAAGAGGCTAAAGA